CTGGCCTGGGGCTTGTACTACCTGTTCCAGTGCTTTCAGCCAGAGCTTCCCTGGGCAAGCTGCAACAACAAATGGAACACAGAAAATTGTGTGGAAGATACCTTCCGCAAGAACAAGACACTCTGGGTGGCTGCGAACGCCACTAACTTCACTTCCCCTGTCACTGAGTTCTGGGAGTAAGTACTTATTACTTTAGTACAATATTGTTTTGCGCTTTGAAAGCCATCCAAATCCAGCTATCAGCTTTTAGTTGAGAAGAAGTTGTGGGGTTATGAACCAAAGACATTGCCTCATTTATCTGTACAGTTGTCCTAAATCACTCCCAAAGCCTCTGGAGCTCCTTTACCCTCTTAGTGATGTTCTCATTGTAAATATCTTATGGGCCTTCAACATACTTGCTATAGATGCTATAGATTATGGGTATTCAGGAGATCCACTATCCTGCAGAGTTTAGATACAATACTGCTTCAACACTACTAGCTTAAATCTTAAAACCAAAGTAATCCTGCAGACTTTGGTTAGCAGGTTCAGGCCTATTTTAACTAAACCCGGCAGAACAGTGGGTCCCGAGGAGCAGTCCCAATAGTGCTAAAGCTTTAAACATAGACCGAAGGGTCTAGAGCAGGGATGGGCAACTTCGGCCCTGGAAGGCCTGCAGAGTTTAGCTCTATCCACCTGCTGGTAATTTTCAACCAATCCTGAAGACTAAGGTTAGATTTTACAGGACCGGAGTTGCCCATCCCTGGTTTAGATCTCCAGACTGCCTTCTAAAGACCAATATTTATGGAGTTTAGCTCCACCCCTAATTAAACACACTTTAAGGTCTTCAAGAAGGTGTGATCGAGAAGGTTAAAGCCAAACTCTGCAGGAAGGAGGCCCTCTAGGAGCAGGACTGCACACACCTGATCTAGCAGAAGACTAGTGGTGGTATTATAACTCTATGGCAGGGGTGTATTCCAGAAAGCAAAGTTAACTTACCATCACACACATCCTGAACTTTCAGATGATTAACCCAAAACTTGCTTACTCAAGGTAAGCCAAAACCGCAACTGTGAGGAAGTTGTCAACCCAGTGTATGTTCATGGTGAACACACAAGATAACCTGATCTGGAGAAGATTATGTTCAGAGCATAAGTTGCTATGGCTGCTTACATACCCTGAAATTTATATCCGCTTTTGGAACCGAAAATTTAGGTTTTCCGTTAACTTATCCATAAACTTACCTGGGTATGTCACAGAACCTTTCTGGAATATCCCCCAGGTGTATCTAACCATGACCCTGGAGGTATCCTGCAGAGTTTAGCTCCAAACCTAATCAAACACAGCTGAGCCATTGAATCAAGGTGTTCAAGGTTACTTGAAATTACAGGCAGGTGTGGCGCAGAGTTGGAACTGAAGTCTGCAGGAAGGTATCCCTCCAGGAGCAGAGTTGGCTACACCTGCTCTATGATGACTGGCTTCTTGTTCTGATTTGTACATAAACACTTATTCATCTGTAGTGAACTCATCTGTCATAGCTTAAGAGTGTCTCACCAGCAAACATTATTTCCACCACAGGCGAAATGTCCTCAGCATCTCAGACGGTATTGAGCAGGTGGGTCATATTAAATGGGACCTGGCTCTGTGTCTGCTCGCTGTGTGGGTCATCTGTTTCTTCTGCATCTGGAAAGGTGTTAAGTCCACTGGGAAGGTGAGCCTGGTTGCATAACACAAATTCTTTCAACTTCAGTCAGTTAATTTAAGAACTACTAATAATAGTTTTTATGATGTCAGTGGAGTTAGTAGCTAGGGAAATTTGAATGCTACCTTAGCCAGTATTGTCAACATTAACATAGCAGCCGTTCCCAGGTTATTAACAGTAATAGTAACTATAGCACACCTCCTTCCTAATAGAGACTGTAAAGTCAATCAGCAGACAGCACCTCTTGACTTGGGCACACATTCCCCTTGAGAATGCATTTGTGAATCTTATCATGGCTCCTGCCAAGACACTGTCACAGTAGACTGCTGTATAGCAATTCTAGCAATAGCTACTTTAAGACAGACTTCTTTATGCAATAAAAGCTGGTTCATGCTGTTCTAAAAAAACAAAAACAAGTTGGTGTTTGGATTTTAGTATGCTAGGACATTTTTTGTTGTTGTTTGTTTTGTGACATATTTGTCATGCAATTTTAAATTCACAATGCAATTTTAAATTTACTTGCAGGTAATTCATGTTTTGATGTAGTTTATGGAATTGTGGTCAACATAATATTTCTAGCTAAGCCAAACATTACTTGATGGGAGGAAAACAGCTGGCCAAAAAGTATATCCACTAAAGACAATATAAAACTGTCAGTGAAGTTAAGCTGTAAATTGCATGTTAGCCTTGGTTTTGACCGAATGTCATCTCAGAATGTTGGAAAGTGTGACAAGTCTTTTAAAGTCCTTTCTAAAGATTTCTAAATTGTCAAATCACCAACCAAGTTTTTGAGTTTTCATAAAACCATAGCATTACATTTAACCTCAGTGTTCTTGGCTTTTCTGCTTAGGTTGTGTACGTCACAGCAACATTCCCATTTGTCATGTTAATTGTTCTGCTTGTACGGGGTGTCACTCTTCCTGGGGCAGCCGAGGGCATC